AATTTGGTGGCAGTGGTGGGATTGTTTGACCCCCTGCCCAGACAGCCATAAAGGAGTCTTTATAATTTGGTGGCAGCGGTGGGATTCTTTGTTCCCCCCTGCCTCGATATTCTAGCTGTCTTTATAGCAGGTTTCTACGTTCTCTGTTCTCTGTTATCTCAGACAAAGCTGGTAAGGCAGAATTTATTTTTCTTGGTGACATGTGAAGCATATTCAGAGCTTGGAAAAGCTCTTTCTAAGCTCTAAATTCGTTGCCATGTGAATTTACCTTCTACACTTGGATTTATGAGAGTTCTATACCAACTTACAGGAGCAATTTAAAGTTTTGAACCCAAGTCTGCCCTTATCAAGTGGAGCTTCCAGAAATTGAGCCTGGGACTTCCTGTATTCAAAGCATGAGCTTGCCACTGAGTTGCAGGACGTTCCTAGGGTTTAGGAGGGCATGACTATAGAATATTATAGCAAAGCATAGCAAAGACAGCAAAACTGAACACAAATCATAGCTTCTTAGAAATCTATTGTGTAAATATATCATCTATATAACTTCTGGGCTGAAGTAGATACTTTAATGACTAAACAGGATTACTGAGATGGAGTAACAACTGGAATTAAACAAAATTAGTATTGGGTGGCCATTTTGTACCTATTTTCTTGAATTGTTCTTCAGTGCTATAATTATTGGTTCTTAACAGCATTCTGTTTTAAGTCATGCTATGATGGTCCTGCACTGGAAAAAAGGCAGAGTGCAAAACATTTTGTGCATATATATAATTAATTATACAGTCAATAAAATACCTGTGCTGGCACGGCAGTGCCAGGAGATTTGAATTTCTTTCTCTTGCACTGCTAGTTTGTATGAATTTATTTAGCCACACATTTTGCAATCAGTCATAGGGCCAGCAACCTGGAAATCATCATTAGAGTCTTTAGACCCGCCCCTTTCCCCAGGGTTTTGGAGGCAAAGGAGGACTTTTGTTCAGTCTCACTGTTTGAAGCCTAACAGCAGGACGTGTGGGTTTCTCTATCCCACCTGCACAAAGGCTTCACTTCTCACAGCTCTGCTGGGGGAGTAAAGGAATTCCCACAGCTTTTGCTGGGGGAATACAGCCAGCCTTTGCTGGGGCAACAGGACAGTTCCTACAGCCTCCACTGACCCCTCCCTGGGCAATCTTTCTTTACCTTGCTGGCATGAGGCCCCTACTCCCGGCTCCAAGCTACTTTATGGATAGCCGAGTGGTCCCTTACCAGACAAGATTTCTGTAGATCTGCCAAGCTGAAAGGTGTCCTTTAGATTACTCCACGAAGGCTGTAGGAACTGTCCTGTTGCCCCAGCAAAGGCTGGCTGTATTCCCCCAGCAAAAGCTGTGGGAATTCCTTTACTCCCCCAGCAGAGCTGTGAGAAGTGAAGCCTTTGTGCAGGTGGGATAGAGAAACCCACACGTCCTGCTGTTAGGCTAAGGAAGAATGGAACAGTTTACCACCAGTTGCCTGCCCTTGGTAGCAGATTGAGGAAGCTACCGGTTTTCCAAGGTTATAAAGTATTTAATTCATTTGTTTGAAGATTTAAGCCCAAATAAAGAACTTTGTTGAACTTATTTTGAGCCTCAATAGAACTTTGCGTTGGGAAATCTAAGGGGCCCTTCAGCTGAGGCACCCCGGCGTCCCGTTGGGCACGTCCTGTAAACAGACATTATTTCAGGCCCAGCATACGACAGCACAATACCTTATAAAGAAATAAATGGCTATGCTAGCTGGAAGATTCCAGGAGCTGTACTTCAGAAAAGGAACATTGTCATCTGATAATAAAATAACACAGTCTGTGACTGCCTCCTAGGTTACAAAATATAACACATATCATTTCATCAGGTTTGAAGAATACAGGATTTGTATTATAAATACAGGGTTCATACTCTAAAATAAAATTGAGCAAAGAAAATAGTAAAATTCAAGCATACAGTGAGAATAAACTACAAGGAAAGGGGAAAAGAGACATCAAGAAACTTTTAACGAATATCTGAACTGTATTTTACCCCAAACAGGACCACACCAAGTCTGGAGCCAACGTCAACCAAAACCTTTCCTGTCAGGTCAGGCAGTACATGGTGATACAGAAACTTCACTTCCGTAAGGGAAAATGAATGGGAGATGAATTCTGGTAAACAAGAACACACACAGAGAGAGAATTATCAACCACTATCAATTTAAACCAACCTTTCCAAGGGAAAAATTGCATCTCCTTCTTGGCTGATGATAGGAATATCACATGCAAGAATATGACTAAATCCCAGTAGAGTCATATGGGATCTATCTGCATCTGATGTGTTTAGGATTGGGAAGTTAACCAAGACTGAGGATGTACACCGGATGTCTGCCTTTTCTATATTAAGGAACACTGCAATTATTCTAAACATATGTTAGCCATACATAAGTCATACATTTTAAAATTAGCAACATACATTTCTATATCTAGTCAAGAGAATGGCTGCAATCTGGTGCAGAAGCTATACATCAAATTTCAAAACTTGATGAGATTTCTCAAACTGCACATATGTTGGAGGTGAATTTTCTTGCCAATAATTTACAATGTTTATACCCAACTTAGAAAAGGGGCAATTTGAACAGGGGGTGAATGGGTTCTTACTAGATACAGAGACCACAGATTGTACCAATTAGCATCATGTGTCTTGCTATGCTTTAGAATAGAAATCTGCAGCAGAATGTATAAGCTTTACATTCAAAATACTTCCTGGCCCATCCGAGGATGCCATCACATCCTAAAAAGGTAAAGGTTTCCCCTTGATATTAAGTCTAGTCATGTCCAACTCTGGGGAGTGGTGCTCATCTCAATTTCTGAGCTGAAGAGCCAGTGTTGTCCATAGATACCTCCAAGATCATGTGGTCGGCATGACTGCATGGAGCACTGTTGCTTTCCTGCAGAAGCGGTACCTATTAATCTATTCACATTTGCATGTTTTTGAACTGCTAGGTTGGCAGAAGCTGAGGCTAACAAATGGAAGCTCACCCCAACCCGCAGATTTGAACCTCAAATCTTCCAGTCAGCAAGTTCTACAGCTTAGTAGTTCAACCTGCTGCACCACCACAGCCCCTATCACATACTAAGACAAACTGAATAAGTCATTCCCCAGTTCCTGAATGATTTCATTACTATACACAGTGGGATAAATTATTTTTTCTTGCATTCAGAAGCCCAATAACTGACAGATACCTTTGAAGCTTGCTAAAGCCAACACCTCTTTTGGATTAAACCCTTATTTAAATCACTGGAGATAATGCACAAGAACACAAGAGACAATTCTATAATTTGGTTTGTAAGAGCATCATATAAATGCTTACCCAATGGAGCTGTATGATGTGAGCCACAGGTCAAACAGTAGTTTCTGCTCATCTTTCCTTTTTCACACAGTGAATCAATACAGTTCTCATCATAAAGGAATGCATCAATATGAACAGTTGGTTTTGTTTGTTCTTGTAGCTAAAAACAACAACACATAAATCTAAACAAATACTTTAAAACATTTCCTCCAATTGTTGTTTTTAGCACAATATAAATCCTAATAGGGATGGGCAAAGTGCAACCTTGAGAGGGTGTGCAATTCCCAAAACTATGCTGTGGTCTTCAATCCCTAGACTACTATTTTGAAGCCATTGTTTAAATAAGATGGGCTTCTCTGCACTATTTAATATCATTTATGTTGTTTTTTGGAGGTGGCATTTTGGCAGTCATGCAGCCCCTGGAGAGTCATAAAGGTGGAAAATTGCATCCACAAGACTCCCAGCAGCTTGTAGGGACACATGTAGCCAAGTGACATCTGAGTGTGGCTAAAAAGATGTGACCAGACAACAAGACAGCAACAAAAGTTATTATAATGCTAATAAGAAGAAGAACCTTGGAATTCATGTATTGAATTTAGGAAAACCTGAAATAAAGAAAAAGACTCAAATTGATAAATACAGTATTGTGTGTGTGCACACAATTAACAATAAATATAATATAACACATTATTACAAATCCCAAGTGTCTTCATGAGACCCTGCACAAAATTACAACTTTCTCTCAGATCCTTGGTCACTGCATGAGCTCTGCCCAGTACACATTATAAATCATGTCAAATTCTGTGTAACACTGATTTGAGCACCTTAAGCCAATACTAGCTTACTTCACATGGCTGTTAGAATAAAAATGAGGACAGGGAATGGATAATATGTGTGTATCTGGAATGAAGTTTAATACACTGTCCCTTTAGGTGGATACAGTGTAGTTATTGGTTTAAGCCAGTGGTTTCCAACCTGTGGTCCATGGACCACCAGTGATCCACGAGAATGAAAGTATGGTCCATGGCCTCACCATTGCCTCAAAACCATGTGGCAATGAGAGCAACTGGTCTCGCAAAACCCTGTTATAGCTCCAAGGCAACAGTCCCCAACCAAGTCACAGTCTTTCCGTCTCAGAGGAAGACATTAGCAAATATGTTGTGAACAAATCTTGCTACAAAACCCTGATCACCTTGGGGCAGGTATGGGCAAACCCAGGCGTGGGGGCTGGATGCGGCCCCTTGGGCTCTATTCTCAGGCCCTCCTCTCTCTCCTTTTCTTTTTCCTTCCTCGGTCCCTCCCTCTTTCTCCTTCCCTTCCTTCATTCTTTCCCTCTTCCTCTTTCTCATTCCTTCCTTTTTGTCTTTCCTTCCCTCTCTCCATTCCCTTCCACCCTTTCGTCCTTCCTTCCTTCTCTCTTTACTTCCTCCTTCCTGTCCTTCCTTTCATCCCTCCCTTCCACCCTTTTGTCCTTCCCTCCCTTTTCTCTTTCCTCCTTCTCTTCCTTTCCTCCCTCTTTCTCCTTCCATCCTTCCCTTCCTCCTTCCTTCCCGCTTTCCTGCCTCTCTTCCTCTTTCTCCTTCCTTCCTTCTCTCTTTTCTTTATCCTTCCCTTCCTTCCTTCCATCCATCCTTCCTTCTTTTTCCTTCCTCCTTCCATTCCACCCTTTCATCTTTCTTTCCTTCCCTTTCATCCTTCCTTCCTACCTTCTCTCTTTCCTTCCTCCTTCTCTTTCTCCTCTTCGCAGAGGAGTTAGAAAGCTTGTCCATGCCTGCCTTAGGGTCACCATAAGTCAGAAATGACCTCTGTGTTCAACTCCTGAATTAACCAGTCCTTACTTTTCCTGATGTATAGAAACATGTGAGCAGCTGAACTTACTTTTTGAAGAGCAGTATGATCTGAGTCAAGCATTGCCTCTTTGGGCAAAGAATGTCGAAGATCTTCAGCAATGCTTCTAAGAATAACATCGTCATTATTGGATATGAATTCATCAAAGTCACCTACACACAAAAAGGGTTTTATATGAGCATGGGGGGCAATCAAGTCCCATTCATATTTAATTTAGCTGTAGCTTGAACAGAAATCCTGATGCACACTTTTTAAAATATGAGAAACATTTTTTCAGTTTTTTAAAATTTATCCTTCCTGAAAGAGCTTTCCAAGCCCAATAACATTACGATTCAAAAGGCCTCAAGAACATTTAAAGGCCAAACATCTCAGCAATGTAAAGGATGTATAAATCCACCAACACAGCAATCTTTGTCTCCACTGAACTTCTATTATTTCAATGATACGTTAAAACATCAAAGATCCTTTTGAAGTGTTGGACAAATGACAAAAACAAGCAATTGCTTGCCTTGTATATTTTTGACACACATTTTATTTGAAAGATTATATGAAAAAGGTTTGGTGGAACAGCATTTGAGATAAACATGAAAGAACAAAGAGGAAACAGACCAACGGGAACATTTACAAAGCATATCCAATTATGTGAAATATTACTGTAATTAAAATTCAGATAATACGATTTTTGACTTACAGGCTATTTTCACTCATTGTAACCTCTAAAAATATACGGTACTTTTCTAACATATAAAGATCTCATTAACTAAGATGATTTCCCTGTTTTTTTCTCATCTTTCTCCTTAAAATAATGTCTCTAATAGTGAACGCAAGTGGTCACTAAGAAACACGAGACTGACTGGCAATTATGGGGGAAATCCCAAAGTCTGCACAAGTATCAAATATCTCAACAACTCTGTGACCCAGTAAGTCTATTCAGTTGCCATGGACTCATGAGCACCAAATGAAAAAGTCAACTGAATAAAATGTTGAAGCCCCGTAAAGAGATATGTTATATGCTTGTCTAGTTATCTGAAGCAGCAAACAAGTGAAATCCCATAAGGAGCAATAATATATTGCAAACTCTGTGTTGCCATCCTCACTTATCCGTCATAATCTTGATCTCACTCTACCCGTTACAGAATGCTTATGAATGTGACATGCTGCCATGGCTCCATTTCAGAATATAATCCATTTATTTTAAATCAATGTGTTGTCAAAGGTTTTCATGGCCAGAATCATTGACTTGCTGTGAGTCTTCCAGGCTGTATGGCCATGTTCCAGATGCATTCTCTCCTGACGTTTCACCCACATCTATGGCAGGCATCCTCAGAGGTTGTGAGGTTTATTGGAGACTAGGTAAGTGAAGTTTATATATCTGTGGAATGTCCAGGGTAGAAGAAAGAACTCTTGTCTGTTTGAGGCAAGTGTGACTGTTGCAATTGATCACCTTGATTAGCATTGAATAGCCTTGCAGCTTCAAAGACTGGCTGCTTCCTGTATTGGGGAATCCTTTGTTGGGAGGTGTTAGCTGGCCCTGACTGTTTCTTGTCTGGAATTTCCATTTTTGAGCAAAAATTTCTGTGTTCTCAAATAATATGCTGTGTCCAGGTTGGTTCATCAGGTGCTCTGCTATGGCTGACTTCTCAGGTTGAATTAGTCTGCAGTTCCTTTCATGTTCCCACTAAGAAAATCCAACAAATGCAACATTCAGCAAAGGACAAAAGGGATCTTCTCACCTCTACAAGAGTCTACCGTGTACCATGCAGCTGTGGACAAGTCTACATAGGGGCCACCAAACGCAGCGTCCAAACACGAATCAAGGAACACGAAAGGCACTGCAAACTACTCTAGCCAGAGAAGTCAGCCATAGCAGAGCACCTGATGAACCAACCTGGACACAGCATATTATTTGAGAACACAGAAATGCTGGACCCCTCTCACAACCACCATGTCAGACTACACAGAGAAGCCATTGAAATCCACAAGCATGTGGACAATTTCAACAGAAAGGAAGAAACCATGAAAATGTACAAATTTTGGTTACCAGTATTAAAAAAACACCAATATCAGGATAGCAAATAAAAAGCAACACTAAAAAACAGGGGAATTTATAGACAAGAAACAATCAGGGCCAACTAATCACCACCAAAAAAGGATTCCCAGGCAAGAAGCAGTCAAGCTTTGAAGCTGCAAGGCTATTCAATGCTAATTGAGGTGATAAATCGCAACAGTCACACTGCCTCCAACAGACAAGAGTTCTCTCTCCCACCCAGGATCTTCCATAGATATATAAACCCCTCTTGCCTAGTCTCCAACAAACCTCACAACTTCTGAGGGTGCCTGCCATAGATGTAGGTGAAATGTCAGGAGAGAATGCTTTTGGAATATGGCCATATAGCCCAGAAAACTCACTACAACCCAGTATTTTAAATCAATTTTTGTTCTTTTAGTATGTTCCCATAGTATTTACAAGCAGTATTTTTTAGCCACTTTAATTACGGGAAGGCAAGTGGTTCAATATTTCATCGCAGAACTTGTCCTACAGGCCTATCCAGTTTACCACTTGAACAAATGTCTTGAAGGGGGGAAAGAATTTTAAAGCTCGTGATATCAGATATTAAAGCAGTAGGTAAAACATAGTAATAGTTAGTGGGAGCTTTTTATGGGCTAAAACTAAGTCCATCTATCATTGACAATAGCTACTTTCAGAAGTGTATTTTTCAAAGAAGTAGTTCTTTTTAGTCTCCTACAGGAAAAAAAAAGGTAGAACTGAACAAACTAACTTGTTGCTTTCTGGTGTGACAGATGATGCTGTTTTCACTTTGCTCATCTTCAACACACAGACCAGGGGTGTCAAAATGTATACACGTCTTAATAAATGTTGATGTATTACTTTTCAAAGTTGAATTAAATCATGGCAGCAATGTCTAGTAGGATGTTTGCTCAAAATATGGTGTTAATCAAATGAGTACTAGCAGCACCATGCAACAGGCAGGACAGTAAAGAAAAAAATCATGGGAAGAAATAGAAACAGCATGCACAGCAATACAAGTGGAGATTTCGGTCAGTGTTGCTCAAGCAGTAGTTCACCATAATCAGAAGTGTCTGGACACTTACGGTAATTACTTTGAGCATCTCTTGTAATTGTAGAAGTCAAATGTGACTTGTATTCATCTTTTGTTATTAGTATATTTTGTGACCTGGCCCTCTGTTTAAAAAGTTTGAGAACCCCTATGGTTTCTGTTGTTGTTGTTCATTCGTTCAGTCGTCTCCGACTCTTCGTGACCTCATGGACCAGCCCACGCCAGAGCTCCCTGTCGGCCGTCACCACCCCCAGCTCCTTCAAGGTCAGTCCAGTCACTTCAAGGATGCCATCCATCCATCTTGCCCTTGGTCGGCCCCTCTTCCTTTTACCTTCCACCTTCCCTAGCATAATTGTCTTCTCTAGGCTTTGCTGTCTCCTCATGATGTGGCCAAAGTACTTCAACTTCGTTTGGTTTCTGAGAAGTTATAAAAGGGGCTGCAGACCACATGCTTTTTCTCTCTCCTTTTGACTATGTGACCTGTTGATAGCTGCTTTGTTTTGGCCGGTTGGTGCAGGGAGACACCTCAAAGAAATCTGAAACTGGACTAATAAGTTTTTGTACCTATGTTTTATAACACTATCTTTTTGTTGTGTTCTGTCTATGTTCACATTAAAGTTGTGAGCAAACCAAATATGTTATTGTCATCAAAGTCTACTTCATTTTTGTCTCTGGAGCGCATGATACGAAACAAGTTGTTTTATGGGAGGGTATCTTTTGGGGGCCCTGAAATACTTCTAAAGTTCTGCTGTTTTGTATGCACTGGCAAATCTCTGTTTTCCTGACAGACTGGAGATTGCTGGTTATTCAGTCTAACAACTGAAACCATTGCCTAGCATAATTCTATTTGGTTGTATACTACAGGAGGAGATTCTGCTCTAAAGGGTTTTTAAAACTAAGCAAGCCAGTGTGATAGATTAGAAATGGGCAAACTTGGGCCCTCCGGGTGTTTTGGACTCCAACTCCCAGCATTCCTAACAGCCTCAGGCCCCTTTCTTTTCCCTCTCAGCCGCTAAGCGGCTGAGAGGGAAAAGAAAGGGGCCTGAGGCTGTTAGGAATGCTGGGAGTTGGAGTCCAAAACACCTGGAGGGCCCAATTTTGCCCATTCCTGCCAATGGGGAACCTTATGTAGCCAAAACACTACATCCACAAAGCCTATTCTCCACAAAGCCAGGCGTAGGAAGAAGCAAACAGCGAAGGAACTGGAGACAATCCGAGAAGAAACGCGGCTTACTGGTCGTCTTGATCCAGTGAAGGAGGCGGGGCAGATCGCCTGCCCGCGCCCCTTTCAGCACATTCAGAATAGCAACACGCGCCGCCGAAAAATCCATGCCGCCTCGCTTGAACACACTGCGCATGCGCCTTTCTTGTGTTTGTTTGTTCCCCCCCCCATAGATACGTCATTGAGAGACGTCATCGTTTATTCGCTTGTCCCAGCTTGCAGAGTCCTTGGGCGCACGCGCAATGCCTCCTCTGTTGAGTTCCTCCTCCCTCAAATCTTGCCTATCACGAAGCTTTTCGTCACTCCTTTTGGTCCAATCGTGAGGGACAGTTGGGCTGGCCCCGCCTCCTACCCCTGCGTGAGGGTGACGACAGACAGCCCTTGTCATCCCTGGATCCCTGGATTCCTGGATCTCCCTCCCTAGAGAAATAAAGCTGCCTCCCCCCTCCTCTCCTTCAAAATACAGCTTTTGCTCACTAACATATGGAGAGGGGGGTGGAATAGATGGTTGAGAGATCACTTCCTGGCCTCTGGTTGAGAACTAACTATTTGTATTTGGGCTTCCCTGGTCCACGCCAGCCCAATTTTTTTTGTCGTGTCAGGAGCAACTTGAGAAACTTCAAATTGCTTCTGCTGTGAGAGAATTGGCCGTCTGCAAGGACGTTGCCCAGGGGACGCCCAGATGTTTTGATGTTTTTACCATCCTTGTGGAAGGCTTCCCTCATATCCCTGCATGAGGAGCTAGAGCTGTTAGAGGGAACTCAGCTGCGCTCTCCACAGATTCGAACCTGCGACCTGTCGGTCTTCAGTACTGCCAGCACAGGGGTTTAACCCACTGCACCAGCCCAATGACCCCATTTGACTACATAATCAACTCACACCATTTTGTGAACCCTTGCTGACTGTTGCAAATTAATGTGGATGTCTTGTTTAGAGTTTATGTCATTATATAATTGACTATTCTAAAGCCTTTGACTGTGTGGATCATAATAAATTGTGGTAAGTTCTTGGTGGTATGGGCATACCAAACCATCTTGTCGCTCTCCTGAGGACTCTGTATAAGGACCAATTAGCAATAGTAAGAACTGACCATGGAACAATAGACTGGTTCAAGATTAGGAAAGGTGTACGGCAGAGTTGTATACTCTCACCCACCCTATTCAACTTGTATGCAGAACACATCATGTGATGTGCGGGGCTTGATGAATGCAAGGCTGGGGTGAAAATTGCTGGAAGAAACATTAACAACCTTAGATATGCAGATGATACCACCTTGATGGCTGAAAGCAAGGAGGAGCCGAGGAGCCTTCTAATCAAGGTGAAAGAAGAAAGCGCAAAAGCTGGGTTGCAGTTAAACATCAAAAAAACCAAGATTATGGCACCAAGAATGATTGACAACTGGGAAATATAAGGAGAAAACATGGAGGCTGTGACTTTGTATTTCTAGACGTAGACTGCAGCCAGGAAATTAGGACACGCTTACTTCTTGGGAGGAAAGCAATGTCCAATCTCGATAAAATGGTGAAGAGTAGAGACATCACACTGGCAACGAAGAGCTGCATAGTTAAAGCAGTGGTATTCCCCACAGTCACCTATGGATGTGAGAGCTGGACCATAGGGAAGGCTGAGCAAAGGAAGTTAGATGCTTTTGAACTGTGGTGCTGGAGGAAAGTTCTGAGAGTGCCTTGGACTGCGAGATCCAACCAGTCTATACTTCAAGAGATAAAGCCTGACTGGTCATTGGAGGGAAGGATATTAGAGACAAAGTTGAAGTATTTTGGCCACATCATGAGGAGACAGGAAAGCTTGGAGAAGAAAATTATGCTGGGGAAAATGGAAGGAGAAAGGAAGAGGGGCCGACCAAGAGCAAGATGGATGGATGGCATTCTTGAAGTGACTGGCTGGACTCTGAAGGAGCTGGGGGAGGTGACGGCTGACAGGGAGCTCTGGCGTGGGCTGGTCCATGAGGTCACAAAGAGTCGGAAATGACTGAACAACAAATAATTGTGTCTAGTTTAATTTATTGATGTTAGGTTTAATTTTCTGGTGTTAGGCTTTAATTTGATGTTAGTTTTTAATGTTATTTTCCTACGTGGGGCTTCTCTGGGATTTTATGTCAGTGGTTGGTTGTTTTATGTAGGCACTGAATGTTTGCCGTTGTATGTTGGAATCTGACCTGATTCCCCTTGAGGAGATAGGGCAGAATACAAATAAAGTTGTATTATTATTTTATTATATATAACAAGGATTGGTGAGAAAGCTTCACCTTTTCCCCATGATAATTCTTTCAGGAGTTAATTTCCTTTCCAAGGAATAGATTTCTCTCACTTCCTGTTGTCTCACCCATTTGTAACTATGAGTCATTTGTAAGTCAGATGTTTGCAACTTGGGAACTGCTCGTATTTCATTTTAGCTACCATGGCGTAATTCTATGGAGCCCTAGCATTTGCAGTTTAGGGAAGGACATTTAGAATTCTCTTGAGCCTCACCAAACTATAAACCCCAGAATTCCACAGGATGTTGAAGGGGTAGCTAAAGGGAGATATAGCACTATGGGAAAGCAGTGTAATAGTAATTAAGGCTGAATCTGCACAATGGAATTAATGTGGTTTGACACCACTTCAACTGCCATGGAATCATGAAAGTTGTCGTTTGGTGATGCACCAGCCCTCTTTGGCAGAGAGGGCTGAAGGCCTTGCAAAACTACAATTCCCCTGATTCCACAGCATTGAGCCTTGGCAGTTAAAATGGAGCCAAGTTGCATTAATTCTGCGGTGTGGAGGGCCCAATGTCTCGGTCTCTCTCTCACACACACATTCGTCTCTTGGAGGCTGTCATCAAAGATCCGTCTTCCCCAGGCCCCTTCTACACTGCCAGATAAAATCCAGATTATCTGCTTTGAACTGGATTATGTGGCAGTGTAGATGGGGCCCTAGTCATGTTGATTGTTTTTAATTGCACTTTTATGTATGTCTGGCATCGAATTGTGCCAACCTGTAACCCGCCGTATGGCTGAGAAAGGCGGGCTATAAATAGTGTAAACAAATCTATAGAAACAAAAATGTAATATTCGTTTGTGGGATTAATATAACTCAAAAACCACTGGTCGAATTGACACAAAATTTGGACACTATACCCCTAACAGACCAATGAGTGACCATCACTCATAAATCCCTCCCAAAATATAGTGGAAAGGACTTAAAACCTCCCAAAAGCTAAATGATTATACAGCGCATGTGCGAAAACGACAGCTCCCAGCATCCCCTAGACCAGGCCCTTTAAGGGAGGAGGATGCTCCAAATGCACTGCTTCCAAGCTGCAAGCTTGCTTCTCCTTGGATTTCTTTGAGAGCATCCCAATCCGTACATATTTCCTATTCCCTATTTCTGGACTGCAACTCCCAGCAGTCCTCCAAATAGATAAGATATATAGATTAGATATATATAGTAGGTAGATAGATCAATCAATCAATCAATCAATCAGGAGGACTGCTGGGAGTTACAGTCCAAGAATAGGTAGAGAAGGAAGAAAGGAGAGAAAGAAAAAGGGAAGGGATGGAAGGAAAGAGGTAGAGAAGGAAGGGAAAGAGGGAGGGAAGGTTGGCCACATCAACGCATGGTGGGTACAGCTAGTAAATAAATCTATATAAATAAAAATGTAATTGGTGAGTTATGGGATTAACATAACTCAAAAACCACTGGACGAATTCACACGAAATTTGGACACAATACACCTAACAGTCCAATGAGTGTCCATCACCCATAAACACACGTACGAGCACGCATACACACACAAAATCCCGGTGGAACAGATTTAAAAACCCCAAAAATACACCATATATACATATAAACATATACTCATATACGTATTGACATGCACACATTCATACACACACACGTATATATATGCACAAACACACAAATATACACATATACATACATATACATACACACATATATACATGCATATATCCATGCACACATACGTATATATATGTACACATGCACACACATATACATATCCACATACATATAGACACACAAATATGCATACAGACAAGCACACACATATAAACACACAAATGCACAAATATATACACAGATATATACACACATAAAACATTTTGTTGTTGTTCATTCATTCAGTCATCTCCGACTCTTCGTGACCTCATGGACCAGCCCACGCCAGAGCTCCCTGTCGGCCGTCACCACCCCCAGCTCCTTCAAGGTCAGTCCAGTCACTTCAAGGATGCCATCCATCCATCTTGCCCTTGGTCGGCCCCTCTTCCTTTTGCCTTCCACTTTCCCCAGCATAATTGTCTTCCCTAGGCTTTGCTGTCTCCTCATGATGTGGCCAAAGTACTTCAACTTTGTCTCTAGTATCCTTCCCTCCAGTGAGCAGCCGGGCTTTATTTCCTGGAGGATGGACTGGTTGGATCTTCTCGCAGTCCAAGGCACTCTCAGCACTTTCCTCCAACACCACAGCTCAAAAGCATCGATCTTCCTTCGCTCAGCCTTCCCTAAGGTCCAGCTCTCACATCAGTAGGTTACTACAGGGAATACCATGGCTTTGACTAGGCGGATCTTTGTTGCCAGTCTGATGTCTCTACTCTTTACTATTTTATCGAGACTGGACATTGCTCTCCTCCCAAGAAGTAAGCGTCTTCTGATTTCCTGGCCACAGTCTGCATCTGCAGTAATCTTTCCACCTAGAAATACAAAGTCTGTCACGGCCTCCACATTTTCTCCCTCTATTTTCCAGTTGTCAATCATTCTTGTTGCCATAATCTTGGTTTTTTTTATGTTTTTTTTTTTTGACATAAAACATATATACACATAAAACATATATAAACAGACTGGGCCACAGGGGATGGCTAGTAAATAAAGAAAAGTTGAAGCCAACTCTCTTTCATCTCCAGCCTGACTGACATGTCTATGCAAATAGAGATGCAGAGCTCTGGCAGGGAAAGCTCCAATCAGGAGTGGCCTATCAAGGAGTGGGCGGTCCCTCGTGAAATGACCCGGAAGCGGTGGAGGCGCCTGAAAGGGGAGGGCGGAAGAGAGTCGGGAGGCTCGGCGGAGTGGTGACGTGACGTTCCGTGCTGGCTGGTTGCTCGGGCACGGGGCTGAGTGTGGGTGCCAGGCCAGAACCGTCGCCTTCCTCAGCCGCCCAGCCCGGCCGCTGCCCGGCTCTTCCCCCCGCGGGGCCCGGCCGGGACAGGCCGCCCTCGCCTCCTCCGGGCCAGAGAGCCCCTCTTCTCGGTGAGTTCCGCGCCCGGGCTTGCTTCAGCCCTCCCCCGCAGGCCCATCCAGGCGGTGCCTGCTTTGCCTCGTTGTTCTGCCCAAACTTCAGGGCTTGAAGCAGCTGATAAACAACAGACCCAAGGCTGTTAGTTTGGCCTGACTGTTAATAGTGTGAGGTGAACTGAGAACGAGACAGCTGTGCTGGTGCCAAAATGCGAGCTCGTCAGTCCAGCTGGACGTTTGTCTTTTCTTTCCCTTCTTCCTTCATTATTCCTTCCTTTCTGTATCGTTACATATGGTGATTTTTTAAATTTGTTATTGCTAAATCTCTGCATCACACAATGACCGCAACAAGTCTCCAGGGTTGGTAACAGGAAGGGGAGCCATGTTGTTGTTTTTGTTACTGCGCGTCATCAGGTTGTTTCCATCTCTGTTGACCCTAAAAGTGAAACTATTACAGCAGTGGTTCCCAGCAACTTCAACTTCCACTAATACCAGCCTGGTGACTAGCTGTTAGGAATTGTAGACTCTCAAGTCCAAAACACCTGGAGGACTAAAGGTTGGGAATCACTGTATTACAGGGTTTTCTTGGCAAGACTAGTGCAGGGAAGGGGTATCTTTGCCTTCCTCAAAGTGGGACTTACACACAGTCGCCCAGTGGGTTTCACAGCCTAGTGGGGATTTCAACCCATTTCTCCAGAGGGTACATCTACACCAATCATTTAATGCAGTTTGGAGGCAACTTGAGAGAGTGGCATTTACATAACACACAGACAGATGCTGCTGGGTGCTTTAAGCCCTTTAAACCAGATAAGCAAAATAGCCAGGGTACTCCAAAATAGAGCCCTAACTCAAGGAGTGCACTGTAGTATAAACCAAATTGCATGTAGTAAGCAACTCCGCAACATATACATTTATTTATTTATCGTGTCAGAAGTGGATTAGGAATATAGTTATCAGTTATAGGAAAACCACAAACAAAGTTAAAACTTGGCATTATACTAAATTTCCTTTGACCAGAAGCTGGCCACTTCGAGTGCCTCTGGTGTTGCTGTGAGAAGGTCTTCCATTGTGCATGTGGCAGGGCTCAGACTGCATTGTAAGTGGTTTGTGGTTTGCTCTTCTCCATACTCACATGTTATGGACTCCACTTTGTAGCCTCATTTCTTAAGGTTAGTGCTGCATCTCATGGGCCAGAGCACAGTCTGTTCAATGCCTTCCAAGTCCCCTAGCATACAAATCATTAGTGCAGATACCGAAAGCATCCATTGATGAACAGATACACATTCCAGCAGAGGAATTTGACCCCCGCCCTCCCCATTTTCTGCATATCCTGGAATTGGTTCCAGGCCAGCCTCTGTGGTCTATACAAGGACCCTCCGGCCCCCAAACCAGGACTTGCAGTATAATCGTCTGCACAGTGAAACTGCTTCTCTCTATGCGGATTTCATCCTGATTGAGTGATCAGTGTAGAAGTGCCCAGAGTCATAGTCCAGTTTGTGCTTCTGCATTTCTGGACCCAGCTCAGTTTTTTCTTACACAGAACTTTTAACTGCCTTGAGAAATACTGTATGTTAATAGCATTATGTCGTTTGTCCATAATAATGATACAATCACAGTATCAGGAGGTGCCAGTTAATAGGGAAATAAGTCACAAAAGAATTATTGTGATCTAGACCTTGGATTATTGCTTGCCCTTTTCACTGGAAAGTATAGTAAACAAGTGCTGAAGCAGCAGCCTGGAGGCAGAAGTAAAGATGAAACGACAACTTTGCTACTCTTTGAATTGCTATCTCTTGACCTGAAATGACATATGTCCTCAAAGTAAATGCACATTCTTCTCCAGCCTCTTATTCGGTTGCTCATTATGGTAATAAAGTCATCTTATAGTTTAGAATGCAGTTTTAGCAAATTAAGATTTTTGAAAATCTTTCTTGAATGAGTCAATATTTTTCTTAAATGTATTAAAATGTAGGGAGGGTTCTTTTGTGTATGTTTAATCAGCAAAATTTTAAGTTATCTCTGACTGTGAAAATACTTAGTAGGCAAATTTTACTATATTGTTACATAGCCATTGTGGTATATAGTCTGATATACATCTAAATTTATATCTAAAAAAATCACTAGCAAGTAGATAAGTGCTATTGCAATGGTATTGCTATAATATTTCTAAGAAAAAGTTTGTGGTTGGATGTTGTGGTTGCAGAATGCTGGCGTGTGTATGTCTTTACTCTGATCCAACATACTCTTCTCATGTTCTTATTTGAAGTTTATTAGCACCTGCTCATTCTAAATATAAGCCTGTTTTCCTGTGAATTGGTTTGTGTGTGTTCCATTAACATTGATTCAATTGCCTTGTGACATTTATTTTAGAAAGGTATAGAAAACCTCGGTTTATATGCTGAACCTAGCCTATAGAAGTTTCCTCCACTGGGATTACTTGCCCTGGAGGTTTTCCCCGCCTCTGTATGTAACAAGGAGAGAAATATTTTCTGTTAATGTCTGACCAGCATTTAGTGGGGATTTCTAGAACATTTTTCTCCCTTCATCTTTCCTGATCAGAGCACCATGTCCCTTCTGTGCTCCATTAAAGAATACCTACACATTGGGGATGTGTTTATCTTGCATAGATATGCTTCCCAGAATTCCCACCCTCCCCAAAGATTTCCATAGTTTGCTGCTGGAATTCATTAATAAATCACTAAACATACTTCAGACAACCTGAAGTGGGACAATATTTTTTACAGAAGCATAAAACCAAATTGTGTAATTGTTAAGTGTTATTTTTAAATTATATTAATCAATGATTAATTTGAAAACTAAGATATTGTAACACTGAGCTTCACCATTTGCATAATCCAGATTGTTAACACTTTCTTCTCATAAAAAAATAAATGGATCTAAAGTTTGTTAGCTTTCTGTCAACTTTCATCTGTGTTATATACAGCTGATTAAAGAGTAATTCAAGTATGTCCTCCTCAAAGTGTCTGCTTGCAAGTTAATTCATTTCATGCTGTATTTAGAACTGAGTAAGTCCTGTTATCTGAAGAATGCTATGGGCTGGAGTAGCATACAAAGGACACTGCAATTAGTTCTGTCTGTTATATGACATTTTAGATTTGTGTTTTTGGACCAATGCCTCCCAGTGCTCCATGCAAACCACTTCTGAACAAGTGAGCACTTGAGATCTGGGATGCTGTTGAGATCTGGGATGCTGGTGCATCTGCTGCAGAAAGAGAAGTTACATAGGTAGGATGATAAAATGTGGCCTTGCCTAGCCTCCTTGCCAATTGGAAACCATTCTGTTTCTCGGTATTCTGTCCTGAGAATTACTGCTTGTTCTGAGTTCAGGTTACTTATCAGTGTTGAGAACCCAAAACAAGATGTTGTCCGAATATATAATTAAGAGCTTTTCTTATTTGTTAAGCAACCTTTTAACTGCATTTACATAACTAACATAGTCATTCTTATGATTGTGATATATGTTTAATCCTTCAACCTTTCACTGTGAAAAACATAAATGGGTCAGTAGGATCATGTGGTTTTATAACAGAACAGATGGTCCCTTCCAGACAGTTTAATCGTGGTGGAATAAGTAAGGGATTATAAAGAATGTGTCTCTAACAACAAATATTGCAGATGGAATCAACTGTCAAGATCATCACTGCAAACTGAGCAAAAGAGAGAAACAAAAGACATATCCTTGCAGAGAAGAAGTGATTTTCCCAGGACATAAAGCCTAAGGGTTATCCAGCTATTAGACCAAAGGATCATCATCGCCCTCTCTGACCATGGTCCAGTTTCTCTATGTCCTTAAAACTAAGCACTCAGAAAAGAACAGAATACTTCATGTGCAGCTCAGAATATACTAGGACATTTACTTCCCTTAATTTGAACATTGTGCTTCTATTAATACAGGCTAAAATAGTATTCACCTTATTTGCTACACTATCACAGTGTGGGGTCATGTTCAACCTATCATCAAAATTAAGGTCAAAATCCTTTTCACATGTACTACTACTGCTATAATGTATTTGTTATCTGCAGCTCAGAGGTGGGGGTAGAGTAAAATATGAGTAAAACAGTAAAGGAAAACAAAATCCTATTAAAATACATATAACACATAGGTAAAATGCAGACTAAAATTTACTAGTAAGCCAAGTATCTTCTTCAGTTAGCATCATAAGTTCAATTTTGATTCTTCTAAAACTCCAGGTTGTGTTTCGTTATTTTCTTAGGCTACATTGGGAATAAACACATTCTGGAAAGATACTAAATTTTTTGTAGATCTTTGTGATATTGAAGTTAAATAATCTCCACTAGGGTTGCCATTGTAGAGAGTTATTTGCAAAGTGTACAATAAGGATAACTAGATTAAAAAAAAAAAAAACCCAAATTCAACCTGTATTGAAAGAGTCAGTCATTACTCAAAAGAATACATTTATTTATTTACCATATTTGTACCCCGCCCTTCTTACCCCGGAGGGAACTCAGGGCAACCTTACAACAGGCAGCAATTTGATGTCATATGCACATATATCAAAAATTTACAATTGCAATTAAAACCAAACAATTAAAACATGAATTTTTAAAACAACAATTAAAACCATGCCATCCAATTCATAATCTAGGGCCATATCCATATACCATTCATAGGACAGCAGGGACCCTCATTTTTGAATTATGGCACTTAATATTTGGTAGATTTGAAAGAAGTCACAATAATTATTGATAAATGAAATTCCCCCTCTTCTGGAGTGGCAACAACGATGTGGATATTTCTACTGTGTCAGTATCTGATCTTTATGAAATCTGAGTCTTTGTAATAACTGCCTGCTTTTGGGAAAGGAAGATTAAAAATGAGAAAGATTGTAATGGTGGAAAATGATCTTTTGTTGGTGCGAGCATAGTCTCTCATGTCAGCTGGGGAAGAAGCTTAATTCAGCACATAGCATAAGTTCCAGTGGAGGAGGAACAGCATATCGTTGACAGGTTCCAGTGGTAATGGTTAATGTTTTCTTCAGAATTCTTGTTCAAATCTTTCTAAGGATTTAACTTTAAAGTTTGATTATGAATGTTAAGTAGAGGAATATAGGTGTCTTGTTTCCTACTCTAAGAGCAAACCTATTAATAATTATTATCTCTTTAACTTAGCACAATTATACTGCTTTGAAAATAAGACACAAAATGCTAAAATAGAATTTAAGTTATTACAGTCTTTTAACAGTACTGAGAAGTAAGGCCACAAAATTATTCTTGATGACTTCTACATTCTGTGCTACCCAAAACTGTTTAGTTGATAATGAACATCTGTTAAGGTTAAATCGCTTATGTGAACATTCTCTGATTGACTCTTTCAATAAGTACCATAACATCAATGGTCAAAGAGAGCAGTGTGCAGAAGAGAACCCATTCAGATGGCTGTTATAGTACAAAAAAGAAAGACAGCATCGATCAGCATTGTACCTCTTGACCTAGCAAGATATTTTCTTGGAATATAGCAGGATGTATCTCTAAGCCACTTGGAAATACTAACATTTTTTACATTTTAGTGAGTATTTGTGGGTAAATAATACATTTAAAGCACATGGGAAATTAGTATAGAAATATTGTTCTGGACATTTCTTTTCATTAATAGAGAATTTTCCATCAAGGAGGCATAGTTCTGAAGTTTAATAAGGCTCAATCAGTCCAAAGATTTGTGTGTGATTGTGGTACAGTCCCAAATGCTCATATTTCTAATTTGCATCCTCTATTATTTGTCAAACAGACCCCTCTCAGAACAGTACACTCCTAGGAGGCAATATTATTTTTATTATTGGGTTGCAAAATTTACTGTGCTATTACAAAATTAAGAATTAGGCATCAAATTGAAAAGACACTGAGTCTATTAAAAGGCATAGTTTTTTTAGTAATTGTAATATTTGCAGGTAGGGCTATTATTTTACATTTTTATGTTCTAAATTGTGATGGCCTGCAGCTCTAAATAATAAAAGCTGCAATTTTACATATCTTCTGGGGGGGGGGGGGACTCTTTGTATGTTGGTTAGGTTTTAAGGTCATTATACCAAATAAATTAATTCACAAAATATATTGTATAGCTTCTTATAAGTAAGAAATTGATTATTCTCATTTTTCCTTATAGATTGCATTTGAACTGACTTTAAAGCTGCCAAAATGGTTTTAGCAGATCTTGGGAGAAAAATAACCTCAGCATTGCGCTCACTGAGCAATGCTACAATCATCAATGAAGAGGTATGTAGCCTTTACATATATGAAAAATGATAGTAAACACAACTTCATTCTCATTATGAAAGAACTAGTCTATACTAATGACTAAAATTCTACAGATTATTAAACTTGAGAATTGCTTAAAATGTCATATGTGATATATCTAGCCTCATAGAAAGTATTATGTTATGAGTTAATTCTGTTTAACTAACACAGAATTTATTCATAGTGTTAGCATAGTCTGAATCAGGATGGATAGCTTCAGTGGGTTCGTGGGCCAATTATCTGTCCTCAGGACTTATGAATCACATATTTTCCAAGTACACATAAATAATGAAATCTCAAAACCAGAATTTCTAAAACACTAATTCCAGTTTGAGGATAAGTTGCATGATGTTTTATCCCAAACATGTTTTATTCCATTTTTTTTAAATGACATTTTGTGGGGGATTAAATATTCAGAGCAGGGAAAGCCCACAACAAAGTGCTTGGAAGAAACACTTTGACACTTCCTGTACATTTTTCTAGAGATTTTATTTGATACATTATATGTTGTCACTTTTTATTTATTTCTCACTTTACATCACATGTCTATTGCCCCTTCTACACAGCTCTTTAAAATGATATTATCTGCTTTGAACTGGATTGTATGGCAGTGTAGACTCAATGTTTGGGCGATTATATGTGTAGGCGATTGTAATTTCATATTCTTACAGTTTTCGGTTCTATGGTTTATTTTTTGTGCGGCACTTCCGAGTTCTTGTAAGCCTTCAGGGAGATGGTGGTGGGGTACAAATAAAGATTATTATTATGTGGATTATCGGCCTTGATAGTATGGATTATATGGCAGTGTAAAAGAGCCCTAAATGAAAGAACAAAATGAACATTTGAAATCTTAATTTTGCTTTATTTACTTTTTTTACTCTAAAATTAAGAGTAATTTGGTGCAGCAAAAATTCTGTAGCTTATCTATTTCTGAATTTATCTTTTCTTTTTATCAGGTTTTAAATGCTATGCTAAAAGAAGTATGTACAGCACTATTGGAAGCTGATGTCAACATAAAGCTCGTGAAGCAACTAAGAGAAAATGTCAAGTGAGTTAACAAAACAAAATAACAGTTTTTTATCTCTTACATAAGTATTAATTTGTGCACTTCTTGATTTTGTACCTGACTTAAAGCAGTTTAATTATATATCTGGCCTATTACATTCGCAGAAGTGTTTTTATATGTGAGCTCAAGAAATGTTCTTCTGACCTATTTAGGACATGTAGTAAATGCAAACATTAAAGTACAGTTTACGGCTTATGCAAATTTTATACGTAGTCTTAAAAAATTGAGGCTTCAGAATAATTAAAGGTATAGCACTTCTGTAACAAATTGATTTTGGGGGAGGGAGGACCAGAGAGATGAATGGGTAGTATGGAGCAAACTCCCAAGAAGAAATAAAAACAATAGTGGGGTGTTATTTAGTGCATGAAGTGTCTGTAATACACACGTGAAAGGCATTAGCCTGATACACACACACACATAGTATATAATGCATAACAGGCCATGTGTGTATGTGGGTTTGTGTATGGGTAGAACCTAAAAGAAGCATCTCTTCTCTCTCTACAAGGCACTGCTTCCAGCATTTTTGAACGCCTGAGTAGGGAAATAGTAGTAAGTAGCTAGTGGTGTCTGGCCTCCCGAGGCAATGCTGGTGTTTTTCCCTCTCTGTAGAATAAATTTCAAGGTATCCACTGGTCATATCAAAATTCATGACTTGTGTATGAGATCAAGTTATACACAAGTATATATAGTAAATTTCTTATGATACAGGGCTTTTATATTTCTTTCCTTTTTAACTACAGATCTGCTATTGATCTTGAAGAAATGGCTTCTGGCCTCAACAAAAGGAAAATGATTCAACATGCTGTCTTCAAAGAACTTGTCAAGGTAAAACATCAGTTCTAATCTGTATGTCTCCAACATAGTCAAACATTCATGTCTTTCTTATTTTTTCTTACAATATATTTCTTACTTCAGATCCATACTTCATATGTAACTCTTACATGGTCATATTTTTCAGGTGTGGGTACCTGCAATTGTACTAAGACTTGACACTGAAAAAGGTGCTTATATTACTTCACTGCAACCGCGCAAATGCTAGTGTGTCCCAGCTGTTTTAAATATATTTTATTAGTGACACTATTTTCAAGCTTAATCTGTTGAATATAGTAGATATTTACTCAAGCCTTGCCCTTGACATAAGTCACATCAGTTCATTTCAGTTTTCAAGCCAACATACCATTTGTGTTACTTGAGGTTGGATGTGATTTCTGAATTAGTTAGCTGTCCTTGTTCTGCCTCTTGAGCCTATTCTTCCTACAGGGGAGAATGGAAAACAAATGGAGGTGCCCAAATTCTTTAAATTTGGGAACCTAAATTACAATTGTATTCTGAATCAGAATTTTAATGTCATCTCTAAATTGAACCGTATACTCGTCTAAATTAATCATTGTGTAGATTTTACATCAATTGCATATGATCATCCCTGTTGGATGAGTTATGCAGTTAAGCTCTTATTCCATAAGCAGCTCCAAATGCTGTCAGAAAACCTTCTCCCAAATTCAACAAAGCTTTAGAAAAGTGGTTCTCAGCCTATGAGTCCCCACATGTTTTGGCCTTCAACTCCCAGAAATCCTAACAGCTGGTAAACTGGCTGGGATTTCTGGGAGCTATAGGCCAAAACACCTGGGGACCCACAGGTTGAGAACCACTGCTCTAGAAGTTGCCTTAAGAGTGGCCACGTAAAGCTGCTATTGAAGAAGCTAAAGTAGCAAAGAGCTCTTGTACTCCCTTGAAATGGCAATCTGACACAGAACTACATAAACACGAGCCCTTGTATTCCTTTGAAGTGGTAATCTGATACAATACTGTGATTAATCAAAAACTGGTTAAATGAAAGCATGACTTCCCCATGTTGCAGCTTCTCTTCACACTCCACTCCATGTCCATTTGCATATACTTGCTGTACTCTATTTCTCCGGACCTGTTAATATTTTTTACTTAGAACACATTTCTTCTTTTTAGGTTCTGTAGGAAGTGCTGTTTGCCATGAGTAAATTGGTGTATACTATCTAAAAAGAATTCTATTAGTTTCCCTTATCCACTTTCAAAGGACTCCATTTAGAGCAGTGGTTCTCAACCTGTGCATCCCCAGATGTTTTGGCCTACAACTCCCAGAAATCCCAGCCAGTTTACCAGCTGTTAGGATTTCTGGGAGTTGAAGGCCAAAACATCTGGGGATCCACAGGTTGAGAACCACTGATTTAGAGTTTGAAACTGATAACCCTATCCTGTGCCTGGCATAGGAAGTAGAGCAGCACCACTCCTAGTCTCCTGCAAATCACTATATTGGCCCTGAGATTGCTCTTGACATCAGTTTCCAATGGCACTATGTGTAAGAGTGATTTGGAGGAGTTGTAAGAACCATTGGGTTAAAAATACAGGTAGGTTAATCTATTTTTCTCCTTTAGAATTCACGTGTAGCAGATATAATAGGGTTTAAATTTCTCATTTTCAGAATTGCAGGCAAAACAGGAATATTGAAGAAAATCTACTGTTGAAATTACATTCCTTGTAAATCTTGTGTATGTTCTGAGTTTGAGACTAAGCTTTCTAAAACACAGATATACTATTATTCTACAGCTTGTTGATCCTGGAGTCAAAGCCTGGACACCAACAAAAGGAAAACAGAACATCATAATGTTTGTTGGGTTGCAGGGAAGTGGCAAGACAACTTCATGTTCAAAGGTAACACTGCACATTTCACAGTCTTCAATGTTGTTGCAAATAAGAGATATGTAGCAAGTGTAAATAGGCAAAAAGATGTCAAGTGCTAAATATTTCAAAACAGAATTATTCACAATTGAAATACTAGTAGTTGTGGTAACCTCATGTAAAACCTACTTCTCAGGAATACTCCTGTATTGCTTTAACATTTTATTTGTCATGTATACAAATTAAATGTTTTATATTGTTTACTTCAACTTTCATTGGTATGGTAACAAACTATAATTTTATGCTAGTTGTTGTTTGTCTCACACCGAAGTAGAAAAAACAAGGTGTCTATTTCAGTCTTCATTTTGACTGTATAAAAATAATGAAAAGATGATGTAATAGCTTGTGGTAAGCATTTTTAATCCATATTTGCACAGTAATTACAATTTGGATTTCTTATTAACAGTTGGCATACTATTACCAGAGGAAAGGCTGGAAGACATGCTTGATATGCGCAGACACGTACAGAGCAGGTGAGCACTTTTGTTGTCAAGCTAGTTTGTTTTTACAAGTTGTACATGTTTTATAGGGTTAACAAGCTGTGTTTGTATTGTACAGGTGCTTTTGACCAATTAAAACAGAATGCAACAAAAGCAAGAATTCCATTTTATGGCAGGTATGTCTCCTTAACCATTAAGATTAATTATCAAATTAAAATCTGTAGAAGCTGTGATTAATGATCCAATTCAACTAGAGTAATGTTGAATTTAATCATTAAAATATATTTCACAAATGGATACATTTGATTACTTGGAATCATTGCCTTAGTGTTAGATGATCACTAGTTTTCAGTAGGTGTCTGTATAAGAATGCTGTTGTGCTATTTCCATGTAGTTTCGCGTTTGCCTCTCACAGGCAATACATATTGCTCTGAATGAGTTTGTAAGCATAGCTGCAAAAACAGGTTCTTGACAGTATGTTAATGTATCCACTAGTCATATCAGTAGGGGCTCCTTTTTGATTGTCAGTTGTGTACTTGCTGAGTAGTTCCTACTTCCTCCTTCCGACAGTGTTTGGGAATAAAGGCCTAAAAAAGTGGGAAATCTGTTTTGGACTAAACCAAAAGCTGTTCACTGGGTAAGATGGTCCTTCCTCCTGACCTAGAGACTGAATTTGGAAGGTTTCTCAGGGACCTCATTAAAGTTGTGTAGGCCTAAGGGCACAGAAAGGGGGCAAACTAAAATCAGTGTACTATTTATTAATTAGAATATTTTTCATTCAAGTATAAGGAGCACAGCTCAAATCTAAGTATGCCTTCTTAGGAACAAGTCCCAACACAACAGCTTACTGGGCTGAAAAATAACATTTCAGTTCTATGCTATAGCTTCTTATTGTTGATCATTGGTTTGCAATAACAGCTGAGTTGTATGAGAATTTCTGCAGGTTGAATTTGGGCAACAGATTGGATAATTATCATTTTTGGCCTGCAGTGGTGGCAAGTGAGAACCATCTTATAATTTCACATAACTATGTGTTTGCCTGTTGCAACAGTTATACAGAGATGGATCCTGTGATTATTGCATCAGAAGGTGTTGAAAAATTTAAAAATGAAAACTTTGAAATAATAATCGTTGATACAAGTGGTCGTCACAAACAGGAAGACTCTCTTTTTGAAGAAATGTTGCAAGTTGCTAATGCCATAGTAAGTATTGTATGAGTAATATAAGGCAACTTTGGAGTTGTTCTAATAGAGACTAGTTTTTATATAAAGTAATTATCAAAGAGTGTGAAGGACTAATTCACACAATCTTGGAATGTTAGTTATTCAGATTCTTAAAATGCAGAAGCTTTTTAGATGTGCAAACATACAGCATGATCCCCAACATTTTGCAATCAGCTCTAAAGTAATCTAGATTCAGAAGGACTTACTTACGTACAGGAATGGAACTTTCATTTATTTTTAAATGCATGAAGTAACAATGACAAAAAAAATGATACCTCCCAACAGAGGATGCCCCCAGGCAGGAAGCAGCCAGGCTTTGAAGCTGCAATAATAATAATAATAATAATAATAATCTTTATTTATACCCCACCACCATCTCCCCGATGGGGGCTCGGAGCAGCTTACATGGGGACAAGCCCGGACAACATATTACAGCAAAATGAAACCAGAACATAAACATCAAACAACATCATCAAAATTACAGAAAAAAAGTGACACAATAGCAAAATAACATTCTAATAAACACAATCACAATTAACAAAGGGCGGGCCACATGTGCAGGATAAAACGGTTAAAAGACTCTAATGAGATAACAATAGGAGCAGATTATTTGCAGGGAGCTCATAAAAACACGCAGAGTTATGAAACTAGACTTCCCATTTGGAGGGGTGTGTACTCCAGTGGCAAGGGCGTTGAGGGGAGCAACAGTGTCATTTAATGGTCATGGAAGGCCATTAAATGCAAATCAAGGTGGCCAATTGCAACATTCACTCTTGCCTCCAACAGACAAGAGTTCTTTGTCCCATCCTGGACATTCCACAGATATGTAAACCTCACCTGCCTAGTTTCCAACAGATCTCACAACCTCTGAGGATGCTTGCTATAGATGTGGGTGAAATGCCAGGAGAGAATGCTTCTGGAACATGGCCATACAGACTAGAAAACTCACAGCAACCCAGTGAATAAAAATGCTTGAAATTTAAATCAGGAATTATATTGAAGGAACTATGTAGTTTCAAGTCCAGAATAACTTCTAACTTAAAATAATTAAGGCTGTTGTTGAAGAAATTGTCATATTCCTTAATAAAATGTAAACATGGTATGTGTGTTTTAGATTTTTAAACATCTTGTCCCTGTTCCTTTATATTTACTTGCCTCTAAACAATGATAAAGATAGAAAAGGTCCTAATTTTCCAACTCCTTTTGTTTATATAAATATTTTTAGCAACCAGATAATATTGTTTATGTGATGGATGCCTCTATTGGTCAAGCCTGTGAAGCTCAAGCAAAGGCATTCAAAGACAAAGTTGACGTCGCCTCTGTGATCGTGACAAAACTTGATGGTCATGCAAAAGGAGGTGGGGCACTCAGTGCGTAAGTATTGTTTTGATTTGATTTATATCCCACTTTTCTCCTCAGTGGGCCTAAACATTTATTTAATTAATTATTTGCAGTATTTATATTCCGCCCTTCTCACCCCACAGGGTGAGAAGGCTTACAATGGCTTACAATATCAATTAAAACAGAATGTTTGAAACAATATTGAGTACAAAGTTAAAAAAATTAATCAGTCGCTCAGTTAAAAAAAACACTTTAATAACATTAAAAATTAAAAACACATACACATTGCAAACTTTAAAACAGATTTCACATCATTCTACCATTAATAATAATAATAATAACAACAACAACAACTTTATTTATACCCTGCCTACTTTGTGGAAGGCCAGCAGGGATGGTCTCAGTTGGGAGGAAGTAGCCACCAAAAAGGCCCTCTCCCGTGTTCCCACCAAATTTGCTTGAGAGAGCCTTCAGCAATCTAAAGGTGAAAGCCTATTTAAACAGAAGGTGTTTTCTCTCCCTTACAGAGCTGAAATAGCACTCTGAATGACTCCATAGTAACACAGTTCTGAAAATACAGATCTAAACCTGACTTACTGAATTAGTGTTATGGCATATTTTTATTTTGTTTTTGTGGAAAGATAAGTATTATGAATGCAGATAATTGTATTACTGCAATGCAGTGCTGGGAGGAATGGCTCTTCTTAAAACTGTCAGTTTTCCCATTAACAAAATTCAGAAGTTTCAATATTTAATGTTCAATGCACAGTATAAATCTAGTTTTGCCAGTTTGGTCACAAAGAGAATTTAAAACTGCTTTCACATGCATCAGTTGTAGCTTGCTTCATGAGGACTGTCATATTAAGCTTTTCAATTCAGAACATTACAATATATCTTACTTAATAGATGTTGTTTTTCAGTTGTGAAATCTTGCTAACTCTGACTCTAACTAACCTCTAGTACATTTTATACTGTATTGCAGAGTTGCTGCCACGAAAAGTCCAATCATTTTCATTGGTACTGGTGAACACATAGATGACTTTGAACCCTTTAAAACACAGCCTTTTATCAGCAAACTTCTTGGTATGTATTGCAGGAGTTTTTGTCTAATATTGTGGCTTCCTCAAACCTTATTTTTTTTTCTCACAGGTGTTTTATTTTGTTGCTGAAGATGTTTTTATTTTATTTTTTTGTATTCCAGGTATGGGAGATATTGAAGGATTGATAGATAAAGTAAATGAATTGAAGTTAGATGACAATGAGGCTCTCATAGAGAAACTAAAACACGGTAAGCTATACAAAAAAACATTTGTAATACGCTCTTCAGTGGCTTAATGCTCTGCTTGTTCTAGAAAGTATATGATGCTTTACAAGTAAAGGAACAACAAAACAGTTCCTTGCCATCAGGCTTTGCAATCTAATTAAGACATGGCACAAGAAAAAAGGGGATGGCAGTGTGGGGAAAATTAAGTCCAGTAGTCGCTGCCTCTTCCCTTCTCTTTTCATTGGCCAAGAAACAGGGAAAGCAGGGCCGTTCTTCAGCTGGAGGGTCCAGGCATGATGTCCCTACCTGTTCTCTTCCTCTGAGGCCACAGAAGGTCACTTGAAATGAAGAGTTTCTCCTCAGCTCTTGGGCGTAGTCATAATGAGGCTGTGCCTGCCTCTTATTTTCTGCCGCCAAGGGCACAGTAGTAGCAATCTACTAGCCGGGGCTGCTTTGATTGTGTTTTTCCTGCATGGTAGTGGGTTGGACTCGATGGACAATGTGGTCTTTTCCAACTCTATTATTCTATGATTTTATGAGATGGAGGAAAAAGGCTTTCATCTGTTTCTGGACCCAGGTATGATGAAGCTGTGCTGGCTTCTTCTTGTATTTTTCCAAGATGAAAATTTAACCAATTATCTTCTGTCCTTCAGGTCAATTTACTTTGAGAGACATGTATGAACAGTTCCAAAACATCATGAAAATGGGCCCCTTCAGTCAAATCTTGGTAACTATAGCTGAATCTTTTATTTACAAAAGATCTTGATAATATTCTGCACTACAGAATTAAGCCTTTATCTGATTTTTAAAACTCCATAAACTGTGTACTTGAAAGAGGTATGTACTATTTCCTTATTTCTTCTGTAGGGCATGATTCCTGGTTTTGGAACAGATTTTATGAGTAAAGGCAATGAACAGGAATCAATGGCAAGGTTAAGGAAACTGATGACAATAATGGACAGTATGAATGATCAAGGTAATGTTTCCATTTGTTTAAAACTAAACAGAGATGTTGAAGTGTATTACACTGTCAGAACAGTGAAAAAGCTTAAAAGTCTAACCTTTATATTTCATAATACTTAAATTGTAAGATATAAATTTTGAAGCTGGACTTGCCTCTCCATGAACAAAAGGAGTTACTCTGCTTGTTATGGCTGCTGGATCTAGTGGAAACCAGATCTAGGTAAGCCCAGCTTACTTGTCCAAAAATATCTCCCTCTATGTACCACCTCGGAGGTTAAGATCTTCAGGGGAGGCCCTCCTCTGGTCCCACCTCCTTCGCAAGTGCAGTTGCTGGGGACGAGAGACAAGGCCTTCTCAGTGGTGGCGCCTTGGCTGTGGAACTCCCTCCCTAGTGAAATCAGCTCAGTTAAAAAATTGGCTGTCAGACCAAGCCTTCGTAGAGTAATTCAGTTCAATAAACTGATATTAAATAAGTGCAATACGATTGGAATGGCTCCTAGACTATGACTTGGATCTGTGTGGTTTTAATATTTGGTTTTTAATATATTGGTTTTTTAAAAGTATGGTTTTTAAGGCATATGCTTATTGCATGTATATGTTTGTTATATGGCATTGAATTGTTGCCAACTTGGAAGCCTCTCTCAGTCCCCTTCAGGGTGAGAGAAGGTGGGGTAAAAATATAGTAAATAAATAAATAAACTTCCTGCAGGTGTAGCTTTCTCCATTTCTGTCTGGAATTTCTTTTACCATCTTTTGCACACTTTTGGAGGACCTTCTGGAGAAATGTGGGAGGTTTCCCCGGGGGGGGGGGGGGGCTGCAGAAGAAAGGTGGAAATTGAGAACGTTGTTTTCCCTTGATGTAATGTCAGTGCGACCCTTAAGAAGAAGCTTGGAGCAGTTCTGTTTTCTTATATAAGTGCCCACTCAAATACTATTGTATAGTGTTGTAAATTCATTGAAATTTATTTTTATTATGCATATTATTTTTTGATTTTTAACTTATGTTTTAACTGATGTTGTATGTTTCAAGGCACCATGGAGGTGCGATTGTAAGCCGCCTTGAGTCCCCCTTGGGGTGGAGAAAGGTGGGATATAAATAAGGCAAATAATTAAACAAACTAATAAATAAATAAATGACCTTAGTTGCTGCTTTTAAAAGCAGGATTTTTCCGCTTGAAATGTATAGGAAATGTGAGGGCATAATTTAATATCAGTATTACATCTTCAATGTTACAAAGGTAAAGATTTCCCCTTGACATTAAGTCTAGTTGTGTCTGACTCTGGGGGATGGTGCTCATCTCCATTTCTAAGCCGAAGAGCCAGCGTTGTCCGTAGATGCCTCCAAGATCATGTGGCTGGCATGACTGCATGGAGCTCCATTACCTTTCCGCTGAAGCAGTACCTATTGATTTGCATGTTTTTGAACTGCTCGATTGGCAGAAGCTGGGGCTTACAGCGGGAGCTTGCCCCACTCCCCGGATTCTAACCGCCGACCTTTCAGTCAGCAAGTTCAACAGCTCAGCAGTTTAACCTGCTTCTACACGGGGGGCTCCATCTTCAATGATTGGATTGTATTAAGCTTCTAGTATAAAATCCATATTGATATATTTTTAAACAAAAGAAAATCAGGAATGCACTTGGAAGTATTTTTATGTTACAGAACAGATGTATTTTAATCTTACTTTTTTCTAATTTCAGAACTAGACAGTACAGATGGGGCCAAAGTTTTCAGCAAACAACCTGGAAGAATCCAAAGAGTAGCAAGAGGTTCTGGCGTCTCAACTAGGGATGTTCAAGAACTACTAACACAGTACACAAAATTTGCACAAATGGTGAAAAAGATGGGAGGCATCAAAGGACTTTTCAAAGGTGAGAATATGACTATATGGTTTAGATGTGTGAAAGTGAATCATTTGCTACATTTTAGAAACTTTAATTTTAGGCTTACCTTTAGGTACTGAAATATTTGGAATGATCTTTTAACGGGAATCCCATTTCCAGGTAACTTTTTGAAATAAATTAAATACTTATGTAATTTGAGGAACGGATTCGTGTTTCTAATTCTGTCCTAGAAAATTATATTTACCATGATTATTTATTTACATCGGACAAAGATGAGACTGAGGCAGAAATAATAGATGAAGAGATGGTAATAATTACTCTCATTAGATCTTCTATTGAGAGAAAAAATCATTGTCCAGTACCAAAGTTCAGCATATTCCTAATGTTCATTCAATGGTGCAGGAATAAAAATTATTAAAGTCCCACCCCTTTTCTGTCTTTAAAGGTGGTGATATGTCAAAGAACGTAAATCCATCCCAGATGGCAAAACTAAACCAACAGATGGCAAAGATGATGGATCCCAGAGTTCTTCACCACATGGGTAATGTTTTTTTGTTTTTTTGCTTAATATTACAGGGAAATAAAGTCCTTGTGTTTAACAACTTTAATACTGTATGCACATGCATGTTATCCAAAAGTCACATTCATATTAACTAGAAAATAAGTGGCCTATAAAATATTTAGAAAGACCTTTCAGTGCATTTAGAAAGTGGTTGAGCACTGTCACCCTCCAGATAGGTTGGACTGTAATTTCCACGATCTTTCACCTTTGGTTGGTTATACCAAAGTTTTGGGAAAATCCCACCCATCCCTTTTAGAAATTGCAATGTAATATGACAGATGTCTGTTAAAGAAATGCGAGCTTAAAATAACCCTGTGTACTTATTCCATTTAATGTTACTCCAAAGTAATGCTGAAAAGTTTATATTTAATTTTGTGCTTCTGTTCCAGGTGGCATGGCAGGATTGCAGTCAATGATGCGGCAGTTTCAACAAGGTGCTGCTGGAAACATGAAAGGCATGATGGGATTTAATAACATGTAAAGTGAAAGCCTTAATAAACTGACTTGGAAAACCATATTTGCTGAAACATCACTAAAAGAATGAGATCTCCTATTTTTACAGTGGAGAATATTATTGCAGCAAGTGACACTTTTGAAACTTCAATTCTGAGAATTTCTAGATTTATTTCTAGAAAAATGGGTATATTTTTGCTTAAATTAGCCTTTTCTGTTTTAATTTTGATGTTACCTGGATAATTAAGTTAAAAATTAAATTGTGTAGAAATTTAATATTTAGAGGGAACTTTTTAATTGCCTCAGGTGGCAGCTGTTATATTTGTAAACAATTCAGATCTTTGGTTAATGCCAATATGTCACAAATATACTGTAAAATAAACTTAAGTGGTTGTAAATTTAAGAGCTGAATTTTTATAACATTGCACTGGACCCTTGAAGTAAGACTGTTGCAAGGCAAAAAAGCTTTTGCCACTGTTAACCTGCTCTCTGAATGTATTGAAGTGCAGATGTATTTACTTTGGACAAAATGACGTAGTTTATGCATTTAAACACCCGACACCTTTGTCTGCTCTGTTTTCTACTCGGCAAGGCAGAACTTATACCTTTCCAAAATGGTAACACTTCATTGTGTTCCAAAAACAAATATTAGTCACTCCCCCGCTCCAAATAGTCATTATTTGGAGGGTAACATTCTCTAGTAAAATGTTTTCTTGTAATATTTTTCTTCACTCTTCATGAAACTTTATGTTTAATTATTTATTTATTTATTTATTTATTTATTATTTGCACTTGTTAACCGCCACTCTCAGCCCGAGGGCGACTCGTGGCGGTGTACAGAACATAGAAAAGACAACAATTTACAATGCATCAAGACCATGACATAACATCTTACTAATACAACAACTAATTAAACTAAAAATCCGCATTCGTCTAGTTTGGGGTCATAATCAATCTCATAGTCATAGTACATTCCGGTGATCATTCCAAAAACATAGCACTAGTTGAAGGCCTTTTCGAAGAGCCAGGTTTTCAGGCCCCTGCGGAAGGCCATGAGGGAAGGCGCCTGTCTGATTTCAGCGGGGAGGGAGTTCCACAGCCGGGGGGCCACCACCGAGAAGGCCCGCTCTCTCATCCCCGCCAGACGTGCCTGTGAGGCAGGCGGGACCGAGAGAAGGGCCTCCCCAGATGATCTCAAGGTCCTCGTGGGCTCGTAGGCCGAGATGCGGTCCAAAGGTATTTTGGGCCGGAACCGTTTAGGGCTTTGTAGGATAACACCAGCACCTTAAATTGGGCCCGGTAGCAGATCGGCAGCCAGTGGAGCTGGAACAACAAGGGCGTTGTGTGCTCCCTGCGTCCCGCTCCCGTTAGTAACATGGCTGCCGCGCGCTGGACTAGCTGAAGCTTCCGGGCCGTCTTCAAGGGCAGCCCCACGTAGAGAGCGTTGCAGTAGTAGAGGCGGGATGTGACCAAAGCGTGTACCACCGTGGCCAAGTCAGACTTCCCAAGATACGGGCGCAGCTGGCGCACGAGCCGAAGCTGTGCAAATGCTCCCCTGGTCACCGCTGAGACCTGGGGATCCAGGCTCAACGATGAGTCCAGGGTCACACCCAAGCTGCGAACCTGCGCCTTCAAGGGGAGTGCGACCCCATCCAGCACAGGCTGTAACCCTATACCCCGTTCGGCCTTGCGACTGACCAGGAGTACCTCTGTCTTGTCTGGATTTAATTTCAGTTTGTTCGCCCTCATCCAGACCGTCACAGCAGCCAGGCACCGGTTCAGGACCTCGACAGCCTCCTTAGTAGCAGGTGGAAAGGAGTGACAGAGTTGGACATCATCTGCGTACAGATGACACCGCACCCCGAAACTCCGGATGATCTCACCCAGCGGCTTCATGTAGATATTAAACAGCATGGGGGACAGTATAGAACCCTGTGGAACCCCACAGGTCAAAGGCTGTGGTGTTGAACAGGAGTCCCCCAGTAACACCTTCTGGGTACGACCCTCCAGAAATGACTGGAGCCACTGCAGAGCAATGCCCCCAAGACCCATTTCTGCAAGGCGTCCCAGAAGAATACCGTGGTCGACGGTATCGAAGGCCGCTGAGAGATCCAGGAGCACCAAAAGGGACACACTCCCCCTGTCTAGCTCCCGGCGGAGATCAAGGCCCAATACCAGAATATATGCACTAATAAATATGTCTGATTTTTTGCTATTTTCATTTTATGGCACTTTCTATTGTTAGAAGCTTCTCCGTTTTTCCTGAATTACCGGTTAAGCAGAAGGAAGCTACTGAGACATTTGGGGAGTGCCAGCACTAAATGCTTCATGCTTGCTTTTTAAAGAATTATGAGTCTTTAATTAAGCCTTTTGGAGCCAACTTTTTATATAAAGTTTCTTTTAAAAAAAACTTCAGAAAAGATACACTTTTACAATGCTAGTTTGTTAGGTGCCCTGAGGACTGAAGTCTCCTTGCCTTGTTCTAAAAGGCAGGGAGAATATCAAATTCTACTTCTTTCAAGAGAAACCCACCTACAGTCTTGGTTCTGACTTCCATAGAAAAGCAAGTTGTTTTCGTCTGCTTATACATAACTCTTGCAACAGTGGCCTGAACGCTAATGACATCTCATGAATGATCCTTTGTTCTTCCAATCTTTCAGTGGTCAGACTGAGGACAATAATGTTTCTTTCAGTGTTTTGACAACCGGTTTTTTTGTCATCACTGCTTCCTAAAAAGAGGGGACCTGATGTTTTCTCCTTATAAACCCACAGATTTTTGAATAGGAACCCTCCTCACTGTAGTATCTCATTTGACAGGAAAGAAGTTGGCATGATTCAGCTACAGCACTACCTCTACCCCTTTGTTTTCCCCAGTATATCCCAAATGTTTCCTCCAAGTTTTTTGAGGGAGATTTCATTTCATGAGTCACCTTCGGGCTGATATGGGCGGGATAGAAATAGCGTAAAGAAATTAAATAAATAAATTAGAATCACATTTCATCTGTCTTAGTAGCTCCCTCTAGAACAAGTTTTACTAAGGCCTACAATATCCAAAGTGATATATATGTGTTTTCAGTTTGTGTGTCCTCATCCTTGGGTAGAGTGTGATTTTATTATGTCATAGGGCCAGGGAGTGTCTTTCAAAACCTATATGCCTGTCATATAGATCACTGTTCTGCTGCGGTTTAATGCAATGTTACGTTCAGAGGGGTTGTTGCCATCTAATACTCGAAGCAAAAAAAAACCCCCTGAAATCTTAATAAAAGTAGATGGAGTTTGCTGGTGTTATCTGATTGGTGATGGGGAACAAATAAATCAGTGTTCTAGATTGAAGATGACCAGATAAATCCATATATGTAAGCTGCTTTCTTGGATCACATACCAGCAATACTGCAAGTTATGTGAAGGACTTCCAGAGGGGAAAAAACAGTATCTGCAACTTCCAAGGGAATGCCCTCTTAGCCATTATAGATGTGGAATCACTGTACATCAATATCCTACACAAGGATGGACTACAAACTACAAACAATTAAAAATACTGTTCTGAGTGGACTTGCAGAACATCTAGCTACCAAATTGTGATTTTGTATTCAAAACAACCATTTTTGGTAACTACTTTCAAATTGAGAGCACTGCCGCGGACAGTTGCGTTGTTGACATGAACCAATGGTTTCTCAGCTCAAGCACACAGAACCCTTTCTTCTACATGAAGTATATCTTTATCATTTGGATTAATGAAAATGAAATTCCATTAGGATTCCAACAACTTTCCCTGTATTGTCAACCTAAATCTCAAACGATGCACACGTGTTCACTTTCTTGACACTACATTATACAGCTACAAAATTGACTTTTGGGCACTGTTATATTGGAAGCACACTGATCAATCCACATACTTTATTTATCTCTAGCTTCCACCCAAAGTAGATTGATAGATCTATTGCTTCCTGCTAAGTTTTTGATACAAGTCTTACATGCTCAGACCCGCAAGACAGAATCTCAAAATGCATGGATTTGCAGCAAAAATTTCTCAAACTACCATATCTATACAATTAAGTGAAAATAAGTCAAAACATGCACCTAGGAACAAGCTAAAACAAGACAGTAAAAAACAACAAAAAAAGACTGAACATGCATAATTCCCACCTTAGACCACTTGAATGAACTAACTATAAGCTACAACCAATTTTGGAAAGTAACCATGCACTCTTATGGTCTGGACTTTACTTGGATACAGACCTTCGACTCTCCAGGTGTTTTGGACTTCAAGTCTCACAATTTCTAACAGCTGGTAAGATGGCTGGGATTTCTGGGAGTTGAAGTCCAAAACAGTGGAGGGCCAAAGTTTGCCCCTGCTTGATATAGACAGTCCCTCATGCAATGACTCGCCTTCCACAGGACACATAACAGGCACAGAAATATAGAAAGACCCAGCTATAAGCCCAGATGCCAACTCTCACTACACTTACACTTGCGGCTTCTGGTCAAAGGACATTTAGTATGTTATAACTGTGCCGTCAATTTGC